TTCCATTGTCCTCATTTGTAAGTCGCTTTGGATAAAAGTGTCTACTAAATGACTAAATGTAAATGTAATGTAAAAAATAAAAAAGCAGCATAAACATGTCAAAATATCTCCTTTTGCATTTCTCAAAAGAAATTAAGTCATATGGGTTTGAAATTACATGAGGCTGTGTAAATGGCAGAATTTAAATTTCTGGGTGAATAATTCCTTTAAAAGACAATAGTATATCAAAATTCACTCTATTTGCTTTCTTTATAAATATATATAAAATATAAACACTACCATTCAAAAATTTGGCGTCAGTACTTTTTAAAAAAACTTTTATTAAGCAAGAATGCATTACATTAATCAAAAGTGACAATGAATACTTAAATACTTGAATAAAAATTTCATTTTAAATAAATGCTACTCTTTTCAACTTTCTATTAATCAAAGAATTCTGAACAAAATGTATCAGTTTGCAGCACATCTGTTTTCAACATTGATAATAGTAATAAATGTTTCTAGAGCAGCAAATCAGCATATCATAATGATTTCTGAAGGATCATGTGACACTGAAGACTGAAAATGAAAATTCTGTCATCAATTACTCACCCTCATGTCGTTCCAAACCTGTAAGACCTTTGTTCATCTTCGAAACACAAATTAAGATATTTGATGAATTAAGATATTTGATGAAATTCTCTGACCTTCTCAATAATGCATTTCAGCACATTGTTAAAATAATTAATGTGACATCATCAGTGGATCAACTGTAATTTTACGAAGCTACGAGAATACTTTTTGTGCGCAAAGAATACGTTGTTTACGTTCAGATCAAAGCATAAACAACGTATTTTCATACATACGTTGCATACATTGTTTACGTATGTGATACTCTCCAAAATGGTGCCAGGGTGATGCGGAGACGACGAATTGTTGAATAAATTCATTATTTTTGTTTTCTTTGCACACAAAAAGTATTCTCGTAGCTTCATAAAATTATGGCTGAACCACTGATGTCATATGGATTATTTTAACGATCTCCTTACTACGTTTCTGGACCTTGATCGTGTTAGGATCCTGGCTGTCTATGGGAGGGTCAGAGAGCTCTCAGAATTCATCAAAAATATCTTCGGTGTTCCGAAGATGAACAAAGGTCTTACAGGTTTGGAACGGCATGAGGCTGAGTAATTAATGACAGAATTTTCATTTTTGGGTGAACTATCCCTTTAATTTCACACTGACCGGTTGTGCCATTTCTACCACATTATTTTTGGAAAGTTCTGAATGTTTCCCCCAGACAGCTAATTTTGCTTAACTTACAGAAATCATTACTCCACTTGTAGTGGAGCCTGAGGCAAATGCTGCGACTCTGGTCAGCACACACTTCTATTTTGAGCGGGTTTTGTCATGGTAACAGATAAGACTCTGTATCAGAGGACTGCTGAGTGCTGTAGAGGGTGACAGGAAGGATCATCTCCAGTCTGAATCTCTTCTAGGCCACAGAGATCTGGACATATATGTTACACACTCCCTTAGAGAGTCTGCCAAAGAGCAGCTCCACTTACTTTTAGCCTTGGTTTAAGAAGCCACAGATAAGGAAAACGCTCTTGGAAACTGATAAGACGACGGTAACCAAAGGGTACGAAGAATTTCAATACTTATAACAACTTCTACTGTCAACGATGAGGTGCTTGTACTTTAAAAATGGGTCCTTGTCACTCATATCAAACAGGGCCGGATTTTGTGTTCATTATCAGAACATACTCACCCACAAAACTCTGTTTCTTGGTCTCCCACAGAGGGGCGGCTCGGACCCCATTGGCCACCAAGGCAAAAAAGGCCTTTTTTACCTAAAAAGAAAAGGAAAAAAATATATTTATGTCATGTCACATTTCACACCATTTTTTTCGCACCATCAGTGACAGGAAGAGGGCGCTGTTTACTCCAAGCATCTAAGATTAAATGAAATTTACAACCAAAGGTGTCCAAACAACAGAATGCACACAAATATGGAGTATAATTACATCTTTGAAGACCATCCACAGATATACACTGGTTTTCAGCAAAACCCATGCCCATACTTGTCTAAACATTCTGCCACAAGCAAAATACCTTTACCAAAGGAATTCATGAGAAATTCACATCAACGGATATTGTTTTCTGTATAAAGCAATACAAGTTATTTTAAATGTCCAAGTGACCAATAAACATATTGTATTATTTCTTCTCAACATAATATGGAATGTGTGTGTTTAAATAAGTGTTAAATGATTTATTATTATTATTATTATTATTATTATTATTAAAATGACTGCAATGCATTTAACAATACTAGTAATAATATTAACAATAATACTAATTATTTTAATACTACTACTAATTATTACTAAAATAATGCATATAGTAAATAATGAAAACAATATCAGCAATGCATTTAACAATATTACAAATAGTAATACTTATAATAGCAATAATATCAGTAGTAATATTAATACTACTACTACTAATTATTATTAATAATTATATTAACATGCCCATAATGCATTTAATACTAAGAGGGAGATAATCTACAATGCATTTAACAGTATTACTAATTATTATTACTTCTTATAATATTATTAATATTAATTAAGCATAATAATAATACAATTATCTCTATTAATACTACCACTAGCAGTACCACTGTTAATACTAATACTATTTATTATTATTATTATTAAACAAAACAAGTCATGACATGCAAAAGTGCAGGAATTCTTCCCTTATCTTTAAGCATAAATATCTCCTCGCAAAGTACTTCTATGATAACTCACTCAAAGCAAGCACATAACTTGAGGTGGGCGACCAGGCCTGTATGAACCTTTAGAATTTCTTTCCAAGCCTTTAACAAAACTCTGTTCTGCACTTTGGCTGGCATGTCATTGATTACAACAGGCATACATCCAAATCCAATTAACGGAAACCATGCATAATCTTGTGGAATTCTTAAAATGTTGTAATTGTTAGTACCAGCTAAAGTTGAGCACAAAGCCTTCCTCATCTTGGAATAAATTCCACCAAGGAGGATTTTGGGCGGGCCGATCCTTCAAACACTGTCAATACTGCCATGGAGCCAAACAAAGCATTAATCATGGCGTCTCGTGGGCGCTCTTAAATAAATCATGCAAGTCTCTTTTCTTGGGTGATGTTCCAGCCCAATCTGAGATTATTAAACATTAATCGAGTCATAGCAAGGAACATAATGAGATGTTCCCCAAGGCTGGCCTTTCTGCTGTATGGAAGCTGTTGTGAACTGGGCGGTGGGGCTGACGGCTAGTATATCACTGCTGTGAGTCAGTGATCAGGAACACAGGCGTGGATCTTCTGTCCAAAACAATCCCGCCGGCAGCGAGAAGACCATTCATCTAGGATTTATCAAATATTTACGCGTATCGACAGTGGAGCAGTGACCTCGTGGGTTCCTGAGCCTCTATTGAACTTTACAAGCAGACCGCACTGATGCTGATGGAGGGGTTTATGACAGCACGTGCAATACCGGATTAGACTGGAAACATACGTGCTGATCACACGGTATGTGATATGTGTAACGCGCTGGGAGAACAGCGGATGAAAACATCAATATGTGGTATAACAAACCACCGGGAAAAGAAACAGATGAAGATAGAAAGAGACAGTGAGAGACAAATGGGACGAGTTAAGCTAGATTAGAAATATGAAACTGCCTCCTTTCTAAAAGCTGCAGCAATATCTCTTTGGATTTGAGACTTTAGTCTTTGCAACTTTACAGATCTTCTTTATGCACCAAGAACTTGTAACACTCCAAAGAGAAAGGAAAAATATAAAATCGCTTCATATGACCCCTTTAAGTATGATGAGCGATAATAATAGCAATAGCACCCCCCCCACACAAAAATATTTTTTTTACAAAAAAAACAAAAACAAAACCTTGGTTTTGTAAGTCATACACATAGATTTGTTATCAGTGACATCCACACATCCACAGAGCTCTTACCTGCAGCGATGTGTCAAAGACCACGAGCTTGGAGCTGGTAGGGACGATGTCATAGCACTTATGTGACTTCATAAACCGCATGTAAATGTCGCTCTCAGATTGTTCAACAGCTGTAAAGACAGCAATAAACGAAAACACAGTCAATATGAAAGCAAAGTGAGACATAAGTACAAGTCAATAAGTTGTTAAGCACAGACCGCACACTGCTAGAAGGCTGAGGAACTGATGCATTCATAATGAAAGTGTTTTATTATTTAAATGAATTAATAAACATTAAGCTGAACAAGCTTCGAATAACAATATTCCTGATCAGCGTACAAATAAAAAAAGAAGGCTGAAAATAACTGCTGTGATAAAATACATTAATTCCCTTATACATTTAAAAAAATTTTTGCATAAACTACAGTTACTATCAAGTTCAACTGACAGTTGTCTCATCACAGAGTTTTCATACTTTTTGATGTCAAGGGCCCCACTAAGATGATCCACTTATGAGGGACGCCTTTCCTAAAATATAATAGCAGCTATATAATTTAATGTGTAAAATGTGTAAAGATTTATACTGCGTGAAGACAATATTAAGTGTAATATTATAAAAAAGTACATTAAATATAATAATAATGTAATAATAATAATGTATAATAATGTAATAACAGTGAAGTATTCTTCTTATTATTAATATTAATATGATAATACATTTAGTCAGATTTTAACATGTACATGAAATATTATTACAGAATGATAATTGATTATTCTTATTAACGTGTATGTTACCTTTATAATATGATACTTAATACATTTATAGTCTAAATATTAAGACTATTTTTATATTAAGCACATTATATTTACATTATTGTACTTATATTAAGTATTAAAAATAATATAATTTATTAGTTATTATTATCAATATGATTATGATTGTATGATAGCATGAGTCATGTTAAAAAGATAACATGTACTATATGTTAATAACAATAATAATAATAATATCATTATTTTATGTATATTATCTAATAATATGATACTTATATTTAATCAACTTATATAATGGAAGGAAAATATTAAGTGAAACATAAATATAATAGAAATATTATAAATGAATAATAAATAAATATAAAAATTAATATAGATAGAAATGAAGAAAATATAAGATTACATACCTTAATAATAATAATAATAGAAAATGTAAAGTAATAAAGTATTATTATTATTATTTATCAGGGCTTTTACATTGTGTACTAAAACCAAAGTAAATTATTCAAATACTATCAGGAAAATCCCTAGCAAACAAGAAAAAATAAATAAATAAAAACCCACTGCAGTAGATCTGGCAGCATGACACAAATGGGTGACATTAACTCACTGAACTGTGGACTCTGATGTCTCTCTTGTTGTTCCTTTCAGCAGCATCCTGCCTAATGTCCCCAGTTGCCATGGTAATTCTTACAGTAGTATTCTTAGACACTGAACTGCTTCTTCAGAAGCTGCCTAGACTGAAAACACCACTGAAATCTTTTGTCGCAAGGCTGTAGGTGCAGTCTAGGAGGACTCCGGTGCATCTCCCCCCACAGTCTAGACACCTATCTGACTGTTTCAACAAACACTGATCAAAAGACCTAGTGGAGAAAGCAGGTCTTACTGACAGCAACATCCACTGCTTTGTGTTCATACACACTTGATTGACAGTTTCTACTCAGAATCTGTTTTGAACCACTAGTTTGACAAATGTAACATCTGACTCACAACCCTGTCCAACTACGGTGGATTTTCAGTAAGTAATTGACCTTAACATTTCTTTTACTATGCTAGGCCACAAAAAGCATTCAGTGCGATGAGGTTAATAAAAGCCTGGTGTTCAAAGTATTTCTCACCATTGCTTCAGCTCAGCGCCGTTTAACACTACTGGCTATTGTCAAAGAATAGTCCTGCAGTAGGTCTAGTATTAGCTCATGGAAATGATTAAAATAGGACAGTCCAGCTGCTGTTGCTCGAGGAAACTTTACTGAGGGGTTTCAAAAAAATAAACGCTGAAAAGCTTGCAGCTGAAACAATATGTACTTTGTGAGTTAGCATACTTTTAATAACTTTACAATGTAAAGTGTATGCAAAACAACTCTGCAAAGAGTGAAAACACTGTGGCTCTTTAAAATAACACAAAAGTCTTAGACCTAGCAACAGACTCAACCAATGACATGAGTTTGGGGGCGGGACTATGCATACTATGTGACTCAGAGTGCTTAAAGGGTTAGTTCACCCAAAAATGGAAATTGGCTTGTGTTTTACTCACCCTCGAGGCATCCTAGGAGTATATGACTTTCTTCTTTCAGACGAATCCAGTCGGGGTTATATTAAAAATTGTCCTTG